GTGTTCAAAACAAGAAAAAGAAAACAACAATCGTTTTTTTTTTCCATCTCTATTGTTGCTGCAAGCGGGTTTCCATTATTCAGAGGAGCTTATAAACACCTGTGCTTTGAAATACGAGAAATCATGCATACTAATTATATCCAAACAGGAGATTCAAATTGCGGGGTATTGAAATGGTTCATCTAATTATGGAGCGGCTTCAGAATGCTTCCTGTACATCTGCATGCATGCAGCAGATCCTGATTACTCCCTGCAGACTGTCAGAGAGTGAAGGTGACCGTCATTCAAGATCACACCCATAAACATCATTCACACAGGAGGAGATACTCACTCTGCTGGCCTGCTTGTTTTGATGTGAAAGGTGAAGCGTGTCATTTATGAGTCACTAGCGACACCAGACGGAATAAATACATTGTTTTATTCACTAAATGTAGCATTGCCACGATGATGTTAGTTTGTTGCAGGCATTGCTATGCGGTTGCTAAGATGCTTGGAGTGTTTTTCCCATGTTGATATAGGGTTGCTAGAGTATTATTAATGTATTCTGAGGAGTTTTATTATATATTTACTGTTATATAATTTTTTTTTCAGTTTTAGTAAATTTGTTGTGTGCTTTTGTCGTTTTTATTATTTTGTATTTTTCTATTTAGCTTTAATTTATATGGATTTTAGTTTATTTCCGTTTATATTTTTCATTTAACTTTTTAACCTAAAGGGCACCTATTAGGCAAAATTCACTTTTACATGTTGTTTGAACATAAATGTGTGTTGGCATTGTGTGTACACAACCATCCTACAGTGATAAAAATCCGCCCACTCTTTTTTTTAATCCCCATAGATCATAAGCAGTGTCTCAGAGCAAGCCATTCACAGAATCTGCAAAATGTGACGTCACATTTTACAAGCCCCGCCCACAACTGTTAACAGACACTGCTATATTAGCATAGACCCCTCCCTGAGTGAGCCGCACACAATCCGTCATGTTTATCTTCACGCTAGAGTATTTAAAAGCAGCATTCAAGTAAGAAATGTCTTCTTATTAGAGTTATAGAAATTATTCATTCAAGAGCAGTGAGTGATTTTCTGCTTGTTTGAGTCATATTAGCAGCATAAACAGCAGTATATTACGCTGCTGTCACTTAAAACACAGAACTACTATAAACACGTGATTTCTTTTCCATCTGTTTACCTTCACAGACATAACCAACTGTGTTTTTGTAACTTGTGTGTTTTTTAAGACTTAGTTTAGTACTCACATGCCGTGTGACAGCCGCTTTCTGTGCGTTCGCTTCAGATGTGTGCGCTCAGAAAACCGTACATCAGAAGTTTAAACCAACATGGTTTTAAAACGCATGATTTTAGCGTGATAGACATGATAATCAAAACCAAACAGATGTTTTTTGGCAGAGTATCTGAGTTACGAGCTGTAGTGGGACTGTCCTGTTCTGGAAAAGAGGGCGGGGAGCAGCAGCTCATTTGCATTTAAAGAGATATGCACAAAAACAATGCCTTTCTGCTTCCACTCAAAATAGGCATTTTCAAAATTATATAATAAATGATCTGTGGGGTATTTTGAGCTGAAACTTTACAGACACATTCTGGAGGCACTTATATTACATCTTGTAAAAAGGGGCATAATTGGTGCCCTTTAAAGTTTTTCAACTTACATATATATATTTTTCAGATTTATATCACTTCACAAAAACATTGCTTTTATAGTCTTAGTTTTAGTTAACAGCAACAACACTGATAATTCCGGCAATTTAATAAACTGGGAGAGAATTTTTTTTAATTTTTTTTAGCATATTCATCATATTTTGCAGTGTTTGTGTTATCTGTCTTCAGAAACACACAACTTAAAGGGGTCATATGATGCTTTGGAGTGTCTCAAATCCAACAAGATATTCTTCATAAAAGTTAAGAGTCAACCACGCCTGATATAAAAACACACAACGTGTGTTTCGAAATAGGCATTTTCAAAATTATATAATAAATGATCTGTGGGGTATTTTGAGCTGAAACTTTACAGACACATTCTGGAGGCACTTATATTACATCTTGTAAAAAGGGGCATAATTGGTGCCCTTTAAAGTTTTTCAACTTACATATATATATTTTTCAGATTTATATCACTTCACAAAAACATTGCTTTTATAGTTTTAGTTTTAGTTAACAGCAACAACACTGATAATTCCGGCAATTTAATAAACTGGGAGAGAATTTTTTTAATTTTTTTTTAGCATATTCATCATATTTTGCAGTGTTTGTGTTATCTGTCTTCAGAAGCACACAGTCTCATGCTTGAGGTATTCGGCCAATCACAACGCACTGGATAGCTGGCCAATCAGAGCACATCTCGTTTTTCAGTCCGATGAGCTTTGTAAAAATAGACGCGTTTCAGAAAGGCGGGGCATAGAGGAGAAACAATAATGTACAGTATGTGGAAAATAATGTGTTTTTTGAACCTTAAACCACATAAACACAGTTCATTACACCAAATACACACAATAATGTTCTTTTTAGCAGCATCATATGACCCCTTTAAGGCTTCTGTTTTTCGTTGTTTTCCGCTTTCAAAGGTTGCCGATTCTAATATTCCTTGAGCTGTGATGCTTTTATGGAGGCAAGGCCAAGGCCAAACGATGTTGTTTATTATGTGTGAATGACAGGACGTGCAACCGACGGTAAAGAGTCCAGAGTTTCCGATGCCTTTGATGTCATGATCGAGCGTTCCCACCGTTCCTCTCGCATTTAAAGCTTCCTTTAGGGCACAACTTGATGCTTGACAGGACTCGCAGCAGTGTACACAAACTCTCTGATGCTCGTGAGCCAAAAGGCTTGGAAATTTCCAGAGCACAGACCTGTTTCTGAACAGCGCTTCACCTCTCGCAGCCTGTCACGCAGCACATGGCTCTCAGTGTGTTTACACAGGGCCTGATTTAGTATGATGCAGCACTGATCCAAACAATAGCTGATTATGTGACTCACGAACTCAAAAACATGCTTAGTCATTGACTTACGCAAAGCATGCATGTGATATAAAGCTTATCAGGAGCCAAGATTCAAAGTAGTTTTGATTAATGTCTTTTGAAGCAAACATCAGCATTTGGGTTTCTTGAGAATGCAAAATAGGTGAAACAAAAGCCAACATATAAAGCGTTCACAATCCATTTCATTTCTGAAATAGGCTGTAATGCATTTGGATGAATCAGGATATTCATCTAAAAAAAACAGTGTTGGACAGGACTTGATTTTATCCTGTTGTATTTTCAGTTTGTCCTTTCACTTTAATTTTTCACTCTAGTGACTATATTGATATTTTTTATATTTTTAGTGTATATACATACATATATACACACACACACACATATATACATACATACATGTATATATATATGTGTGTGTGTATACAGTATATACATATATATATATATATATATATATATATGCCTATATATAATTTTTTTTTTAAGATTTGTTTGTGCTGCCGTAGTGTACAAAAGTTTGAAATCATTAAAAATGTTTTAATGTTTCTGAAAGACGTCTCTTTACCTCACAGAGGCTCCGTTCATTTACAGTAAAAACAGGAAATTTGTGAAATGGTATTGATTCTAAATAGCTCATTTATTTTTAGTATTTTATAGCTTTTAGGTTTTTCTTTTATTTTTAGTATTTTTGTGCTGCCTTACAAAGTTTGAAATCATTATGATTTTTTCATATTTTTAAAAGATGTCTCTTGTCCTCACATAGGCTGTTTATTTAAAAAAAAAAATTAAATGCTGTAAAAACAGGAAAATTGTGAAATATTATTATGATTCAAAATGGCTGTTTTCTATTGATTTCCGCTTCGGATTAAAAAAATTAAAACAAGGTAATTGCAATGTTTTATCTTTCTCACCATTCTCCGTTTATATTTTGCAATTCTGAAAAGTTCTCTCACAATTCTGAGCATCTCACAATTGTTTTTTTTTTCCGCCAAGGAATAAAAAATAAAAATGTAATAGCAACTTTTTATCTCATAAATCAGACTTTTTTCCCTCATAATTCAAAGTTCATATCTCACAATTCTGACTTTTTTCTTGCAATTGTGAATTTGTATCTTGCAATTTTTACTTTTTTCTCAGAATTCTGAGTTTATATCTTGCAATTCAGAGTTTTTTCTCACAACTCTTTTTTATCTTTTTTATGTCACTTTTGATCAATTTAATGCATGCTTTCTGAAAAAAAAAAGTCTTTCTTTTTAAAAAATCTTACAGATTTTTAGTTGGCTGACTATGCACACAATCACTTATTTAACACATTTAATCAACATTCCACCATCATTTCCTATTAATTGTGAGTGTAGTTTGACAAGCTCTGTCAGTCGTGGTGAAGCATATCAGCAGTCATATCAAGCTCTTCAGCAGTGAACCCGCCAGCGAGTGACATTTTTAGATGTTTGGCACATACGGCCCTGTTTAAAACCATGTTTCTTCAACTCAACAGCTGATTCCAATCCAAGGCATTTGCTTCCCCGAGCCTCGTTTCCAAATGTTGAACGAGGGCAGGCAAGTTCACACAGACCTCTCTTTTCAAAGCCGTCCTGTTCTCTGTCAAACATTGCGTGGCAACATCAAACGCTCTGGCCGGTCAGATACTTTTGTGTTTTTTTTAGCAGCTTTGTGGGAGGATAATTGGGGGCAGGCCTCTGCAAAGCTGCCGGATATGTGGAGCATTTCTCTTCCAGGCTTTTTCAGAGGGGGTTGAGTGTAAAGCATACTTCGTCGGGCTCCTCCTCTCCATCACTGGAAGCCTCGAGTCATTCCTCAGCCAAACGGGGCCCCGGTAATAAACATCGCACTGACACGTGATATCTGGCCCCTGCTTGTTGAATTTGGTGTGTTTTGGTAGGTTCAACAAACCCACCGCAGCCTCAAACACACAAGCATGCATCCTGCCCTCTCCCGGCATCTCCTCTTTTGTGTGTCACTCTTTTTTTTGTTTTTTGTTGAAAAAAATACCTTCTCATCGGTTTGGCAATAACTCAAAGAATCTCACTTGTGGAGAAATCGTGGAAAAGTAAGGATATTGAGTGTGAAAGCTTGCTGCTGCTGCTGCTGCAAAAAAAGATTTTCTTACTTTCTTTCTTGGTATTTTCCTCTTTTCCCATTACAAATATCTAAAAATTCTTAAATCAAAATACATTTATTTGAGAAGGAAAATTAAGATTGGAATTTTTTTTTTTAATGTATAATGTATCAAAATTAAGTGAGTTTATACATTACCATTCCAATATTTGGAATTAAGATTTTTTAATGTTTTTGAAAGAAGTGTCTTATTCACTTGTCTGTATTTATTTGATCGAAAATACAGTAAAAATTGTTAAATATTATACAATTTAAAATAAATATTTTCTAAGTTAATATATGTTAAAATGTAATTTATTTCTGTGATCAAAGCTGTGTTTTCAGCGTCATTACTCCAGTCTTCAGTGTCACATGATCTTCAGAAATCATTCTAATATGCTGATTTGCTGCTCAAAAGACATTTCTGGTTATTATCAATTTTGAAAACAGTTGTGCTGCACGATATTTTTGTGGAAACGGTGATATGTTTTATTTTTCAGGATTCTTTGGTGAATAGAAAGTTCAAAAGAACAGCATTTATTTGAAACAGAAATCTTTTGTAACATTAGAAATGTCTTTGCTGTCAATTTAGATCAATTTAATGCGTCCTTGCTGAACAAACGTATTACTTACCCAGAAAAATATGAAGCAGCACAACTGTTTTCAACATTGATAATAATCAGAAATCTTTCTTGAGCAGCAATCAGCATATTAGAATGATTTCTGAAGATCATGTGACACTGAAGACTGGAGTAATGATGCTGAAAATACAGGAATAAATTACAATAAATTACTGTATCTTTTTTAACTTGAACAAAATAAACTGTTCATTGTTGTTTTTGTCTCTGCAGATGTTGGTCAGACTCGTCTCGCGGTTCGTCCCTCCTCTCGCTCGGTTCAGTGCCAGTGCTTTTGTTTTTCCAGAGCTCCATCTCTCCAACAGGAGGGTCATCGGCTGGTCAGGTCCAAATGAGAAATAGTTGGCTCGTTCCGCTGGCGGCCACTCAAATCCAGCCTTTTACTGTTTCTCCCACAGCGAGAGTCTCCTGTGAACGATGCCAAATCTGGAGAGTGGGTAAGCATTCACTCGGGGCCTTTTCATTTCAACCCGCCGCTGCATTCTTGGCTTTTTTTTTCTCTCATCCATTCACACCATAGAGTTTGGTGTCAAAGTTTGTTGGTGTGAAGGTGTATTTTTGAACTCTGGTACTGCAGAAATCAGTATTTCCATCTTGTTTTTCAGTCTACTGGGATTAATCTGCATGTCTTTTAATATACATATGAACAAAATAGCTGCTTTTGATGATTCATTCAATATTGTTTCATTTGGATGGTCTATGCCAATGGGGTGTCATGACTAGAGCAGGGATACCCAACCTTTTTTCCATCAACCCCTTTTTACATAAAATATTTAGCTGAACACATTAACATATTCACAGTTTCTGATATTGGTTAGCTACATGACATCCAGGTAAACAAGTCTTTTTTTTTTTTTTTTTTAGTAAGTGTTTTATTTTATTGATTTTATTTTTAAAATCAGTGTAATTTCACATTTTTATGATTTAATTAATTATTCGTTTTTCATAAACTCGAATAACTAGTGAGTGTTGATTTTTTTTTTTTATTGAACAATTTGTTGAATGCTATGCAAGCCCATTTCCGCCACTGAATAAAAAATAACAAAGGTAATTGCGATTTTTTATCTCTCAATTCTGACTTTTTTTCTCGAAAACTCATAATTCTGAGAACATATCAGTCTTTTTTACCCCTTAGAACTGGATATATATTTATATCTCACATTTTTATGGTTTAACTAACTATTGCATTTTTTTTATAATTATTTTTCAAAATCTAAAAGCGAACAATAAAGCTTCCTATAATTATACACACTTATAGTCAATCGATTTGGGACAATACCACTTACTAGAAAGTATCATGTCGTGTGTGTGTGTATTTGTATAAATACTTTCCGTACCCACTGTATGTGCGTACTGTGCATATTTATTATGCATATATAAATACACACACATGCACGTATATATTTAAGAAAATATGTTACGTTTATATATTAAACATATTTATATACGATATAATTTATATGAATACAAATATATGCATGTAAATACATGTAAATATTTTCAAAATATATGCTGTATATGTGTTTCTTTATATATAAATAATAAATATACACAGAACACACACATATATTATGTAAACAAAAACTTTTATTTTGGATGCGATTTAACGTGATTAATCGTTTGACAGCCCTAATATATACACACACACACACACACACACACACACACACACGACATGATACTTTCTAGTTAGTGGTATAGTGGAATGTGCCCCTTTGCCCTAAAATGCTTGCTTGAAGTTAAGATTAATATTTCAATAAATTCACAACATATTTGCATGTTCACTGAAGTATGTTAATGATTACATTAGGCCTTCATTACAGTAAACAAATAAAATATTTCATATTTTAAATGTTTTATTTTGATTGGTTTTATTTTAAAATTATTTATTTAAAATTTAACTTTATTATTTCACTAATTATTCTTTATTCTTTTTTTTTTTTTTATCTGGACATGAAAAAAAAGACTTGTATTTTAGCAAAAGTTTGAAGTAAAAACTTCTTAGTGATGGATTTGTTTCAGCTTTTGTCTTCTCCAGATGTTAACTGATGGACTGGAGTGCTGTGGATTACTTGTGGATTATTATGATGTTTTTATCAGCTGTTTGGACTCTCATTCTGACGGCACCCATTCACTGCAGAGCATCCATTGCTGAGACACTGATGCAATGCTACATTTCTCCAAATCTGATGAAGAAACAAACTCATCCACATCTTGGATGGCCTGAGGGTGAGTCAATTTTCAGCATATTTTCATTTTCGGCTGAACTATTCCTTTAAGGCCTGATACCAAATATCTTTGTGTTGGCACACAGTCGGTAACACTAAGTGTGAACCGTAAAAATAACACTCACAAAGGTGGTGCGACTCTAGTGAATCCACCCCTTATTCTGTGTTTCACCCCGTTTCGTTCACCTCATGGCCCCTGGATCCATATAGATTCATGACACGGTCCAGTTTCTCGCTGGCAAGTTGTTTATTTTGGTTTCCGAAGGCCTGTAAGCAGCGATTGATTGATGGAGGTGGAGGTGAAGCGTGCTCTCAGAAGGCTGTCGCTGTTAAGCTGCTTAGTCTGATAGGCTGGACGCCGTGAAGCCCCTGTAAGCCGAGGCAATAAAAGTCGATTGTGTGGGTTATTGTGAAAGTCCCAGACGCTAGTGAATGAGCTGCAGGACTCCAGCACACCTGTCACTATTAATACTGTCTCAGTGGTAGTCCAGCCAGACACATTCACCTTCAGTAATACGATACTCCAGAGAAATAACCTGCCCTTCAAATAAACCGGCCCATTCGGCAGTCGCTTCACGTTCCTGTGTGGCATTTCTGCGCAGATATTTGCTCAAATGATGTAGATTGATACTGAAAATCCAGATATCCTGCTGATTCTACCTACCTTTTAGGTGGTTTATAAAACGTACAACCTCTGACATGAAAGAAATATAAAGCTGAACTCAACATGAAACGGCATTCTGTGAAACTGAATATTTAATGAGAAAACAAATGACAAGTGGTTAAATAATTTTAAAAAAGTAGTAAATAAAACAAAGATTATGAAAGTATGTTTTACAAGAAAATACTATTTCAGTGTGTTTTCTTCAAAATGTTACATTTAATTCAGTGTGTTACTGCTTGGAAAATATTAAAATAAATTAAATTAAATTAAATTAAAAGGAATTATGTAATAAATTAATTATTTAATTATTAATTTATAATAAATATTATTATAATTTAGACATAATATTTCAATAAATATTAGTATTATAATAAATTAAAATAATTGTCTGACATTAATGGACAGAAAAATAGCGAAAAGGGGATTTAGATGAGTTTGAAAGAGTTTGCATGAAAAAATGGTGTGTGTGTGTGTGCTTGGAAAATATGAAAATAAATCAATTAAAATGAATTATTTATAATAAATAAATTAATATTTAATTATTCATTTATAATAAATATTTGAATTATTTATAAATTATATTTTAATAATATTAATATTATAGTAAATTAAAATAATTGTCTGACATTAAAAAAGTACAGAAAAATTGTGAAAAAGGAATTGAGAGATGAGTTTAAAAAAGAGCTTGCATGAGAAATGGGTTCAAAATTTCACATTTAATTCAATGTGTTACTAGCCATTTCTTTGTAATTATTTATTAAATGCACTGTCAATTTCAGAGTGAACATAGTTTCAAAGTAAATCCTAAACCAGTTTTTTAAGTTACTGCACTTTGATGAAAGATTATGATGACAAGCGTTTTAATTTGGAATAACATGCACCAAAAGGTCATTCGCAGTAAGACCAGGAATATGCAAAATAGAGTCTGTTTTGATTTCATGTTCACTTTAAAGGTGCACTAAGTAGTTTGTTTTACTTCCTAAAGAAATGACATCTTTCTTGTTCCTTGACAGGTTTCTGGAGATTCGATTTCTGTCTTGGAGGATCTGGTTTGATGTGACTGGAGTCTTTGAGTTTCTCCGCACTAATTGCATCATGTTTTCAATCAGAGTTATTTTTTTCCCCCAACAACAGATGCAATGCCAGTAAGCAGTTACATAACCAGATTTGACAAAACAGGCCTCTCTTGGTCAAAGATGGCGCCGACGCTAATCAGACAGGTAACACAAACAGACACGCAGAATTGAACACACGGATCCATGAACCGTGACAGATTCTCTTACTGTCTCTGTTTCTCATCCCGATGCTTCCTCCACCCTTCAGGTTTCTTCAGATAGATCAGGGACTGTTGGTTGTCTTAGTCAGACTTTAGACTATCACCGCAATGCCTGGTCCAAATTAAAACTTATTGTGGTCAGTGACCGCCTACTTTGATAGGAAACGACTGTTTGATTGACATGTATGGCAACCAATCACAGTTCATTCTGTTTTGATGTGCCATTTAGGAGCATATTTATATGATTCCAATAAACCTGCTTGAAAATGTTCAAATAAGTAATAAATTAAATGAAAATTATTTATAATAATTTAATTTATATGTAATTATTATTTTATAATACATTAATAAATATTAATATTATAATAACATTTGGTAAAATAACACAGAAAACACCAAAAATAAATAAATAGAGAAAATACATTGGGATTAGAATTTTAAAGGTCTAAAAGTCACGGCTGCAGAGAAAAGTACTAAACGAAGAGGTCAAGAGTTTGAAAGAGTTTACATGAGAAATGGAGCGTGTGGGTTGTCATTGATTCTCTGTTGGCAGCGCCGGGCCCTTCCTTGACTCCCACTGCCGTTCACAAACTGGTGAGCTGGCAGCTTTAACAATGTGCCCAGTGTAGACGGACAGCAGACAGTGACTCGCCAGACTGAAGCATGTTTGACCTGCAGCCCCCCGTCACACCATGGCAAAGACCTCATTCAGACGCTAATATAATGACTCACTTCACACATAAACATACAGCATCAGCAGAAAACTTACACCATTACACTTCTAATAAACTTGTATTTAAATAGTATCGCACTGACAATCAAGTTCTTTGTGTCAGATGTTTGTACTAAAATATATGCCATTGTAGGAGAAAGTATAAAATAATAAGAGTGCTGTAGCATCTCTAAACTTTTTTGATCCACATCAAATGTTGAGTACTGTATATATATATTATATGGTTACTTTAGTTAAACCATGGTAACCAATCACAAATTAATTGGCATTTGTAGTAAAACTGTGGTTATGCAAACAAAAAAAAACCAACAACAACGACTTGGTTACACTTTTACCAGGCCTATTGTTAATTTTCTTAAGGGATTTCTATTGTATATTCCTTCTTTCTTTTTTTTTTTTGTTTGTTTGTTTGTTTTGTTTTTATAATTGTATTGCCTTAATGGTTTGATGTTTTGTACTGTTTCATAAAAAAAAAGAAATCAGAAAAAAATAGCGATACGTGCTCTGAAGTTCTGAATCAAACGATTCGCTAACCCGCTCCAAAGTTCTGATCGGAATCAAATGATTCGCTATGTTTACTAATGTTTCTTAATGACCTTTTATTGTTTCAAAGTGTTATATGTAGCTGAATCTAAAATGACAGTAATTTGGCCATTCAAGTCTTTACTGTTATTGTGTATTGTTACATGAATCCATAGCAGAATATTGACCGTAAAGTAGTTTGTATATATGAATCCCACAGCAGAAGCCTCAGGGGTTTGCCATACAATATTTCAGTCTCTTTGCTCTTTGGCCTCTTCATTATTGCGCAGACAAGCGTTCAATCCTACCGGGATGAACTGACCCTTGATCATATACATATGTATGTCACAAACCCAGCGTTTACCTCATGCTGCACTTGTGTGAGTTGCCTAGTGATTTTCAGACAAAGGAAATCCCAGTTATCAGTGCCGTCCTCCCCCTGCAGCTCCTCTCCAAAGCGTGTCAGGTTGACGAGCCGATCGATGGCTCCTGAAATCAATAGGCTTATTAAAGCTGCGCTCGAGTGAGGAACAAAGCTGATTATCCCGACTCTCAAACTCCCGTCTCAGATCGGCCTGACGGGCAGGAGAGGTCACGAGCAGATGTCACAGGTCACGGCGAGCTGCGAATGATTGCCACAGAGAGCCATGTGACCCGGCATAAAAATTCAATTAGAGTGCGGCGGTTACAAGTTCTTGGAAACCGTCTCGAAGGGATGTGAGTCACAGTGTGAAGTGCAAAACCCTTGGAAAATGCTTTTATTCACCGATATGAAGCTCCTGTAAGTCTAGCCAAGAAAATGCATACTTTGTTCTAATTAAACGGCTGTTTTTCCTGCCAAAAATACATCTGTCAGTGTGCACGCATTGTAAATTATGCACAAATGTTTATATTAGGTCCCTGATGAGGCCTGTCTACTAACCCGAAATCTCTTTGCTTTTTTCTCAGGACATTTTCTGCAACTTCTGCCAAACCCATTTGACCTAAAGTACCCCTGATATTTTTAAGGTAATATTTCAATCGTTTAATCATCTATTTTAGTAAATGTGTTTTGAAATGTGATATTTTTTGTTTGTTTGATTGTGTTTTTATTTTTTAATTGATATATTTTTATGATTTATTTAATTATTAGCCTTTCATCAACGTACTAACCAACCCCAGTTTGGGAAACTCTAGTTATTATTTTTATTCTTAATATTTACTTAAAATACTCCTTAATATCTTAATAAGTTAATGATTTATTGATAAGTATGTTGGTTTTATTTTATTTTTTATTATGTTTTGGTTTGTTAATTAGTTTTTTTGTTTGTTTTAATTTTACGTTTTTATTATGTAATAATTATTAGCTTTTAATCAACTCGTGAACCCCAGTTTGGGAAACCCTGCTATAAGGTTTTTATTTTATTTTATTAATATTACTTTATATTTTAGAACTAGAGTTTTATAAACTCCAGTTCTTATTTTTATTATTAATATTTACTTAAAATACCCGAGATTTTGTTAATGGGCACCTATTATGCCTCTTTTTACAAGACGTAATATTGGTCTTGGGAGTCCCCAGAATGTGTCTGTGAAGTTTCAGCCCAAAATACCCAACAGATAATTTATTATAACATCTGGAAAATGTAATGTTTGGGGCGTGTCTAAAAAAGAGCTGCTTTGGCTTTAAATGCAAATGAGCTGCATATTCCCGCCCCGTCTCCAGAAGAGGGCGTCGCGTATACGCCTCTCAGTAGTAAACAGCAGGTAGAAGCAACATGACTGAGAGCGAGAGAACCAGTGTTTAGCCGTACATATGCGAAGCCAAATGCACTGAAAGTGGGACGAAACAGTGCGATGTTACAGAGCTCGCGCCGCGCTGACCTGCCATCGGCACGGATCAGTGGACCGACCGCGCGACTGCGCTACTGAACGAATCTCGCGATACGAACGGCGAGAACTAATCTCACAAGCGCGGTGCTGATCAGTTAAAAATACTTAATGTATGCACACAAATACGGTTAAAAGGAGGACAGCGTGCAACCGCTGAGGGCGGAAACTATAGCAATGTAGGGCTGTCAATCAGCACCCGTGGGCGGGGCCTAAGCAATGTGACGTCACACTGCATGAGAATCTATTTTGCATAATAGGTGCCCTTTAATATTTTTAAATAATTGAATAATCTTTTTTGTGAATTTATTTATGTATTCACTTATTCATAAATTATTTTTTATTTATTAATTTTTTTTAGTTTGTTTTATTTTAATTTTACACTTTTGTAATTTAATTATTATTAGCTTTCAATCAATTCACAAATTCACGAAATAATTAATTATTAGCTTTTTTCATCAACTTACAGACCCCAGTTTGGGAAACTCTAGTTGTTATTTTTATTATTAATATTATTACTACTATTTATTAAAAATTATGACTATATAAACTAAATACAAATCTATATTGATGGACCTATTAGTCATTCTCTCTGTCTGTAAGGACTATAAACCTTCAAACTCTAAGGCTTTTTTTAGCTCTTAAGGATTTGTCTGGCTTTTCTTCAACCTTTTTCTCATCTTATTCTACTCTTTATATTATATAGCTGTTAAAATAAAAACAATGATATATTTAAATATATACAACTGTGGAAATTATACATAAAAATGTACTTGTTTCATAACAAAGTTTCATGTTTTAGTATTTAAAAGCATTTGTGTTTGCCAGTGACTTTGTGAAGTTGGTTTGGCGAATAATCGTTATAGATATTATATTGTTTCAAAGTGTTATATAAATTGATATTGATTGATCCATGCATTTTTCTCTGTCCGTGTGGACTATAAACCTTCAAACATCAAGGCTTTTAAACTTTTACTTTTAAGCAAGGCTTTTGTCCTGCTGGATGGACCGGGTGTTTGTGCGGTCATTATTTTTCAGGCCGCTGATCAAATCGGTGCTATTATCATTGTGTATATGAGCTCGTTTGGGAGGTTATTCGGTGCGTCTCACCCAACCCGCTCGGCATTATATCACATCTCATTTCTTTCCCCAGCCCTTTTCCAATTGTACTTGAGTGTTTATTGGTACACCAGGAAATTGTATCTGTTTTGTCATCATTTCGTAGCCTCCAGGCTCGCAGGTATTTGGTTTGTGGTTTTGGGTCCGCTCGGACAGTTTTTATTACCTTAGAGTTGGCCTAAAATTGGAAAGGCGGTGTTATTAAACATCCCAAAGGCTTGCTGGATAACATTTCTCCTGCTGCTGCACAAGATGTGCTTGTTTGTCACAGACCCACTGCTTCCCGCTTCAGAGGCCCTGGACTGCAATGTAAGGCCAAATCATTGAACTACATTTATATTAGATTTCTTTTGGATAACAAAATATATGTTTTACTAAATAAATACTTTAACTACTCATATAATCAGCAGGTGAGTCAAGTACTCAAGGGAGAGATGACAAGAGGAGCTTTTTTGTGGTTGGTCAGTGTATAAACTTGGTAGGCTAGATATACTTGGTATATAAATATGGGGCAATATTCAAAAAAATTGGGTCCTTTTCAGTTCATGAGTGTGGATTTGAATTGAATTGGACACAACACACAGGAAGAGGAATTTACTGAATTGCAATTCACAGAAATTCAACACATCAGATAATTTGGGGGAAATGAAGTGTTCTTCCACTTTATAAATCGGGGATTACCAAACGTTTTTGTCAGCTAATCCTCACTGACCTAAAATATTTACTTTAAGTACCCCTGAGATGTTAATATTTTTTAATGATTTAACCATCTTTATTATTAAGTGTTTGATTATTTTTTTGTTTGATTTTTAATTCGGTTTATTTATTTTTAATTTAAATATTTACTTGAAGTAGCCCTGAGATTTTAAGTTAGCATTTTTTTAATGATTTAACCATCTTTATTATTAAGTGTGTTTGTTGATTTTCAAATTTATTTTTTTATGATTTATATTACATATTTATTTGAAGTACCCCTAAGATTTTAAGTTAATATTTTTTAATGATTTGACCCATCTTTATTATTAAGTGTGTTTGATTTTTTTGTCTAATTTATTTATTTATTTTATGATTTATATTAAATATTTACTTGAAGTACCCTTGCGATCTTAAGTTAATATTACTTAATTATTTAACCATCTCTATTATTAAGTGTGTTTGTAGTTTTTTTTAATTTTTATTATTTTTTATATATATTTTTTAAATTAATTATTATAGCTTTTCATCAACCAGGGCTTTTTGAACCCAAGTTTGGGAAACCTGCTATAAGTTTTTGTTTTTATTAAATATTATTGTTATGTATTTAAAATGATACAATATATCAAATGTATATTTATAGATCTATATGTTCTCTCTGTCCGTAAGGTCTATAAACATTTTCTTACTTTTTCAAGCAAACCAACATTCAATGTTTGTTTTGAAAAACTGTACTTTTTCTTCTTACAAATTAATTGTGGTAATATTAATTTCTTTGCATTTTTATAAATATTTATAAAATAAAAAATGTATAGATTAAATTCAGCAGTTGAATTGGAATTAAAAAATCATTTTTAATAAAAAATAATAATTCAGGCCAGAGATTAGTTTTGATCGATCATAGCTTTCACGTCTGAGTCCTCTTTTATTTTATTATTGTGCATCATTGTGGAAACATACTTGCTTTATATCGCAAATTCAGCACAGTTTAACATCAATTCATGACTGTTTTGATTTGTTGCCAATTCATATGAGTTTGCAGGATTAGAGCTGGAGTTATGGCTCTTCATGCTTGCTTTTTCACACAAATCATACATTTTCATGAGTCACATTGAATGACAGATTCACATCTACCTCTGAACGGACTTCTTTGTTTTCATTGCAAACGTGTGTTTCTCTGATCTCACGCCAAACATGCTGATCCTCTGCCAGCTTGGCGTCTCTGTAATGTATTTTTTGTGTCCAGGGGTTGAAGTTCTCGCTGGCACACCGTCAGACACTGCGCTTCTGTCCGAGAGAAAGCAGGTGTTGAGCGATGGAGAGCTGAGATTGGAGGAGAGAGCGGCTCAGCCGGAGTCCTGTGAAAGAGGTATTCATTAACCGTGTTGTTTACATGGTGACTAAAGCTGAAGGAATCTGTCAATTCAACTCAACCTGTTTGAGCTCAGTCAAATAGCAGCGACTGATGATGACCTGAACTAATGACTGCACTCCTTCAAACCGATTATTCTGATTTAATGCAATCACACTTATTGAATAATTCACTCCAAAATGAAACTTTTGTTATTATTTACTTGTCCTCATGTCATTGCATGGAAAAGAGCTGCTTCAAAAGCTCTCCTTTTTTCAGGTTTGGATTGTCAGGGTACGTTTACAACACAACGATGTGCTAAAAAAAGATTGTCAGAACGATCCATGTTCACACGGATCCGCGAAAATGATTTCAAACGACTGTATTATGCATGCCAGGCCACTAGTTGGCGATGCCGTTTTCACAAATTGACATTTTGTAGTTTACACAGCGACAATAATGCTATTGTTTTCAAAAAATGTGCACTTTGAAACCCGTTTTCAGACCAAATGCATTAAAAGTTTTCAGATTTTAGTTAGTTGTAAACGCCCACTTTGTATTTTCAGTTTCCTTCTTTTGCTCTTCTGCTGACGTGGTTAACGAGAGCCTTTAAAAAACCCTTATTTGAGGCGCTTTGGTAAAGAGAAAAGCAGGAGAGCATGAGTGTGAAAACTGAGTGTTTGAGTGATATAATGTTGTGAAAAGCATGAGTGTGATTATTGAGAGATTGTGTTAGAAAAATCACAACGTGAGGGAGACCGTTGTTTTAGGTCTTCTGGGGTTTTATTTTCTTTAAAGACAAAAATGTAGAACCTTTTTCTTTTGAGTTTGAAGGATTCAGTTGAAGGAAAGGTTTCTCTATCAGAGTTGAACTTCGAGATCCTTGAGTCTTTAGTTTTGGGACTCCTGCGTTTATTAATGCATATGCTGTGAAATACTAGAATGAAACGAACCTGTTTTAA